CGACGGACGACGACGACGGACGCCAAGTGATGAGAAAAGCTCACTTGGCCCTTTGGGCCAGGTGAGCTAAAAAGGGTCATGAAGCACATTCTTAACCAAAACTAAATGAAGTAAGGCCTACACGTTGTCTTTCGGATACAAAATAATTCATTCGATGCAAAATTTTACAAATACGTATAAAATTTGCAATTTTGTATCACTTCAACAGCAACAAGCTTCTCAATGATCAGTGTTTGTCAAACTGCTATATATCCAATGAAATTATTCATGTTAATTGTGTGGTACAAATTTCTTGAAATTTTTATATTTGTGTCAACAGGTCAAAGTTAATATTTTGTCAAAATTTTATGAAAATTAAACGAGCCAAATCTATTTTAGCCCTTAATAACATTTAATTCGATTAATGAATATATGTACAAAAGTTGAAAAATGTTTGTAGTATAATAAAAACTTTTTAACATTCAAATTAATAGGTGATGACGACTTAGATTTGACTGAATCCTGTGTGTGAAGCAAATACAGGGGGACATTAGTTCTACTTGTTGTTCTCTTTTTCACGGACGTGGCAATAATAAAAAGATGATATAAAAAGACACATCGCATTGCTTGTTTAATGCCATCTACATTATCTTTTTGTTATTCCAACAAACTAGACATTTTGTGGGTAAATAATTAGAAGCAACGCACATTAAATGTTCGTGTCAAGAAAAGGCATCATCATAGATATTCTAGTAAATACACCTTATTTCTGATCGCACAAACAAATTAGCAATCAAATTCGTGTGATACGCTCCTCTCATTAAACCTTAAATATTCATTTTTATCGATATACAACAAAAACAAAAAAGGTCATGTTATCTTCCGTGGCAAAAAACAAGTAATTCAGATATGAAAAATAACCAATAAGTTGACAGAAACATCACATTGTAATCGATTTGACAACATTTAATAGACAATAATCGCACCAATCTAAAATAAGATTAACAAATAATCAAAATGGCGGTGTTATGGTGTCCGGATAACTACACCAATCAAAGAACGCCTAATCCTATCACATCCTACAAGGTGTCATTTCCATAGCCTTTAGTCGTGAAATTAACCATTCCGCCTACAAAACAATAAAATCTTTATAAATATAAGCAATATATAAATGCATTGCACTCAATTCCTATTTATTTTTCATTATCACTATAAAAATGATAGTTCCACGGATAATTACAGACATGCAACTCTTCTTTTATACAACCATAGGTATAAGGGATTGACTATTTAATATTCCACCCGGGGGACTGATGAGAACGAAAATAATAACCCTGTCCAAAACAGGCCGAAAATGAATATTTTGACATCAAAATAAGCGAGACTCGAAAATTATAAGGTGAAAAATAAATATTTCGTCAGAAAAAAATCGCACCAGCACCCCCAGAATATCAAATGGTTGCCACTTAAAGGGATCAGATCGACCAAAATCATATCTTTTTCTCAACAAGAAAAATGTTATTTTATAATACCATCACAATGATAATTTCAATAAAATGTTTTAAAATAAGTGTTTTGCTTTGTTTTTACAGCAACCTTGAAACTTTGAAGCTTTTCATAAAATTTCGACTTTTAACCTTCTGTTTATAATAAATACAGGGAAATTGGCCATAGCTCTGAGAATTTAATAAGAAAAGAATTAACAGAACTATACACATATCTCCTTTTATTTTGTATGTGAATTCATAAAAATGATATTTTCTGTTATTTTTGCTCTGAGCACAAATACAATCAAAGTACTGTAGTACTGAACATTTTATGACCGCAAGTTCTGGTGGATAGTCACAGGCACTTGTCTCAGAAAAAAATCATATCTCTATACCTGAAAGTTAGGTTAAGGTACATAGATGTATTTTTTTTCCTGAGACAAGTCCCTGTGTGGATGATGAATACATGACAGGGAATTCAACCTCACCGTAATAATTATTATACTGTAGTGATATAATCATGGGACAATCATTTGTTATCAGTATAATCTGGTTTGTTGTTATATATTATATTAATATTTGTATAATAGTTATATTTATAGCAGATCATCTTAATAACTCTACCGGCAATTTTTCATCCATTTATACCATCATTCTATTCTACTATTCTAATGATAGTGCAGTGCAAGTGCATGGTGGACACTCTTCTGTAATGATTCTTTTTTCTAATAGGTTTGATTTGAGTAGGAATTCATATTTCTCCAACTGTTGTTGCTAAACGTCCTCGAGATATTCTTCAGCATGTGTAACACAAATTTTCGGTATTCATGATTTGTTACTGATATATCTATATTTCTCACGACAAAACATTTTCATATCATTTATCTTTGTTCTTTAAAAAATATTTTCATGAATATATATTAATGAAATTAATACATAACAAGCGATAAAAGATATGCATCCGCAAACACAATTTTCCGGTGCGTGTGCATAGATATTAATGATTTTTTTACTTATATATATATATATATATATATATACTTCTCACGACAATGCATTTTCATATTATTTATTTATGTTCTTAAAAAATATTTTCATGAGTATTCATTGAAGAAATGAATTTACAACAAGCGATAAGGAATGTTATTTTGTACTCGATAATATCCGCGTATTTATACGAAATACGTTCGGTTATCAGTCAAAAGCGCAAGGGACGTGTGCAGAAATTTCTGTGGCAACATAACACCGATATGACCTCTCAAGGTCACATCCGATGTCAAAATCTAGCATTCAGTATAGTCTTCCTAAAACACCAAATTGTTTAAATTATCTAGCTACTAGTATTTTTTTCTAGTATTTCAAATATTCACACCTTTGTTCACTAACTTTCTATACTTTTATTATTATTTTGATTTGCATTATACAACAAATTTGTGCTATTTCCAATCACGCACATGATTCAAATTTTAAAATAAATATACAGTTTTCAAATCGTTTGACATGTGATAATGTTTACACCTGTTATTTGCTCGAAGAATCTGATTGGTGTAATAATTCTTATATATCATCACTAAGGATTTATTTGAAGATTTTAATATGTTTTGAAATTTGACTTTTGTCTTTCTTTAAGTGTATCAGTAGGCTTGAAGCAAAAATTGTTAGATAATACAGATCAAGGATAAATAAGCCTGTGAAATTGTCAGCTAAAACAATTGTAAATTAAGTTGTTAGTTTTTAAAAAATTATACGAGTAGAGAAGCACTAGAAAGGATATGATCAGATATGACATGTTTTGTGTTCAATGATTATGAAAAAATACACATATACAGTGTCATTTTTATTGTCACGTACACACTTTTTATTAAAACAGTTTAAAAAGGAAGAAGTGCGTGAAATACTCATAAAAATGGATGTTGGACATTCAGTTATTTTAATATTGGACAATTGAGGATTGTTTTTGATGGAGTTTCGGGTGTGTTAACAGAAACATTCACACCAAGTAAATGAAGCTTGATTTTTTTGCGAGAAAATACTCTAATACTTTTTCCATTGAGAAGGATAAATTTTATTACAATTCTATCACCAAATAACGATTACAATATGAACACACAAAAACATTGTATAAATTAATGTTGGTATGTTTGATTGATTGGTTGAGGAGATAATGTTTAAAAGTCTTTGCTGGGTTTTCTTCTCTGTACTGTTTGATCAAACTTTAGTTAACTGAATGGACCTTTTTATACGTTTTGAAGAGCACACATTTTATGGGCACGGTTTTTGGGTGTTCTTTTTAGAAAGTGTGACATTTTTATGAGAAAGAGCTGCAACCTTACTTACAAGCTTGTTAATCGTTGACTCTTTACTTGTAGTTGTCTGGAGACCTGTGTTTGGTTTCGTATGCCATATACACTGTCAAGGTACCTTAATATTGTTTGTTGTGAAATGATATTTTTTTCAGCACTCTGGGTAATTTTATTTTGGATGAAGACAGTTGTTATTTAATTTTTGATCTGACATTTTTGCATGCTGTTTTTGGTAGGTGAATGACCAGTGTTGGTTTGAAATTTGTTTAGACATTCTTTGTGCATTGAATATTAATTACATATCATATTTTTCAACAATATTTTGAAAAAGTAATCATAACTTAATGGAAGCTACTTTATAATTAGCGTTTAAATAAATGTTCTTTTAAGATACACAAATCAGTACGCCCTCTATGCCGCCGAATCCGCAACTGTATTTTGAAAAAAATAATTATCAACATTCATAAAGTTAAATTGCAGGATAATATTTATCTTGACAGTTTAGAAAAACACATAACAATCCTCTATTTTTACATAACAAGTTGATAATTTTCATACTGCTTCCGTCTGTTGTTTCAACACATACTTGTATGAACAACTATATATATATATATTGTTTTCTGTTTGGTATTAAATTAATAATTAAGATCCATGTTACATCTCGTGATCAATTTATTTGACGATCGTCAATGGCAGTCAGCAGGGTTTAAGAACATCAGTTGTTCGACCTGTTAGTCAAATGCGATTTGTTAAAATATACTTTTCACTTTTTTGGTCTTTTGGAAAATGTTGTTTGTGCTGTATTTAAACCCCTCTACCAAGAAATTTGTTTTACATGCACACATATAAAAATTGCGGTTTTTATCCAAAGCAATCATAGGTTTGAACGTTGTTTTCAATTTAGACTTGTTTATATATATATATATACATATATCTGCTTAATGTATAGTTTCAACTGCAAATTATACCTTGTCCGTCGGATTTCATATGAATAGGAAATACCAGGCACCTGAAGTATTTTAAATGACAGTGTGTACACTTAGAATACTTCGTGTATTCTAATTGTTCAATTCTTAAGATAAGGTAACACCTCCTGAAAATAAAGCTGATTTGTATCAGTTGCAGTAAGAGGAGGGGATAACGCGGCTATGTATGGAACGCCGACACTGTCTTATTATTGTAAAAGCCGGTTTTTCTCGGGCTTTTAGTAATAAAAGAAATAACTGCAATCTAGGGTTCTGTAACTTTTATTCAGACGAAACGAAGTATAACTATATGAATATGTAAATACTGCCCTCACATATCGTGCAAGTGGCACATTTCCATATAAACCATTAAATATCGAATACTACATCTTTGGCAAGGTTTAAATATACCTTATATAAGAAACTTTCCAATCACAGAATTGTTATTTTAGATATTAATTTCTTTAAGTTGTTAAATTGCAGACAGGTAAATATATAGGTGTTGACCACAAGATGTCTTCCCATAAGATCTAGAACAAAGGAATTAAACCGCCAAAAGTACTGACCAATAGAAGAAATGTACGATAGCGCTCAAATCAACCGTGAAAATAAAGTACTAACTACAGTGAAATCAGACTTAACCAAAACATGAGATGAGAATTCGTCCGTCAATAGTCCATGTCAATAAGTTAAAATAGAATAATACACAATGCTAATCCTTAATTACAAAATGTAATTATTAAGCTAACAATATAACTTTATTCAAGTATATACTAATATCAAGTACTAAGAATATAAAAATATACAAAATACATAAAATAACAGGCTATCACATACTCCCCCCAGCCGTGAAATGACGTCCCGTCATTTCCTGTGTGTGGTTGCTGTTGAAATGATATCAATAATGGCCTGTGCTGCTTCTGCCTGTTTTCCATGAAATAGATGAGTGTCTGCTAAAGATGAAAGGCATTGAACCCTTTGAAACCAATCTGCAGTGGTGGTGTGACTTGCACTCTTAGAAAGCTCATATTTTCCTGACGTCATCCAAGCAGGTGCTTTCTTTGTTCTGGTTGACCGACGAATACTCACAGGTGACGATGATGACGAACTGTCAGAAATATCCTCCTGATTGTCACTGGTCACCTCTTGTGAAGGCCTTCTGTCGCTGATATCTGAATCTGTCCCAATGGTGTCATGAGAGTGGGCGTCCCCTTCAGATTCAGAATCATCTTCTGTATCCACATTGCTTGTTGGAATAACAACTGGCTGAGTTATATCTGAAGTGATGGTTGAATCACTATCATCCTCAACTAATGGTTCCAATAGCACATCTATAATATCCTCATCATCAGATGATTCCGGATAATTTGCTGTCGGTTTCTTGGATATTCTAGGTGCAGGTTTCGGTGGTTCCTTCTTGGTTTGTTTTCTGGGTTTAGGTACTGGCTTAGTTGGTTCTACAAGGTGACCCACTGGCAACAGCAAGTTTCTATGGAGGTTCCTCTTACGTCCTTCTCCACTCTCCTTTCTCACTGTGAAGACTGGTATGTCCAGATTCGGTTGTTCAAGTACAACATACGGATCCTGCTCCCACTTGTCTGATAATTTGTGTTTGCCTTCAAATGCAACTATCTTCACCAGGACTAAATCTCCTTTCTTGATGGTAGCTCCCTTTACTCTGGTGTCATAGTTCTTCTTTTGTTTCAGTTGTGCTTTCTTTGACGCTTCAGTAGCTAAGTTGTGCGCAAATTCCAACCGTTCTCTGAGGTCCTTGATGTAGTTGGATCCTGTCTCTTTTCGTATACCAAATGCTATATCCACTGGAAGTCTGGGATCTCTTCCAAACATAAGGTAGTATGGTGCAAATCCAGTAGACTCATGCTTGGTACAATTGTATGCGTGGACAAGTGGTCCTACATAAGCTTTCCAGTTCTTCTTCTTGTCTGGTTGAAGTGTCCCCAGCATGTTAAGTAGAGTTCGGTTGAACCTTTCGCACATCCCGTTCCCCATCGGATGATAACTGGTGGTACGTGACTTGGTCATCCCTGTCATACTGCATAACTCCTTTATGATCTTGGATTCGAAGTTAGCCCCTTGGTCTGAATGTATCCGGTCGGGTATTCCATAATGCACTATAAAATGTTGATAGAAGGCTTCAGCTGTTGTCTTTGCTGTTTGGTTCTTGGTGGGAATGGCTTGAGTAAATCTGGTGAAATGATCTGTTATGACCAGGATGTGTTGTTGACCTCCTTTGGATGGCTCTAAAGTAAGGTAGTCCATACACACTAGCTGTAGTGGTGTTGTTGTCTCAATACTGACTAGTGGAGCTCTCTGGTTTGGAAGTGTCTTTCTTCGAATGCACCTTCCACAATGTGCTATCCATTCTTCAACATCCTTGGCTATACCAGGCCAGTAAAATCTGTCTCTCAATAATGACAATGTACGGTCTTTGCCAGGGTGTCCCATGTCGTTGTGCAGTGCCTGAAGTGTTGTAGAAACATGTGCTGCTGGAAGTACTAGCTGTTGTTTAACTTCATCGTTGATAGTAACCTGTCGATATAATACGCCATCTATGATCTTCAAATGATGGTACTGCCTCTTAAGTATGGCGTCGCCTTTCTCTGGTTTCTGTTGTTTCTGTATCATATCAATCCAGTGACTAACAACTGTGTCTTGTCTTTGTGCTCTCTTCCAGTCTATGATATCTGATGTAGATGTTCCATTCAGATCGTTGTCATCTTGCAGTACATCTGGATTGACTGCTAAACATTCTGCATAAGGTACTGATGTTATGGAATTACAGATGGCTCTTATGGTATCGGTGTTGATCTCTACTATGTCCTTGGGAAGTCTGCTTAAGGCGTCAGCATCAGAGTTGTTTCTCCCTGGACGATACTTGATGTCAAAGTTATAGGTTGCAAGATCGGCTAACCATCTGTGTCCTGTGGCATCCAGTTTGGCAGTGGTGAGGACATACGTCAAAGGATTGTTGTCGGTCATCACTGTGAAATGCGCTGGTCCATACAGGTAATCCTTAAACTTGTCTGTTATTGCCCACTTCAACGCCAGGAACTCCATCTTGTGAGCCGGATAATTCTTCTCGGCTTTGGTTAGCCCTCTACTGGCATAACAGATGACGTGTTTCTCTCCATGTTGTTCCTGGTAAAGTACAGCACCAAGTCCAAAACCAGACGCATCTGTGTGAAGTTCGTACTGCAGACTGTTGTCAGGGTAACTCAATACCGGAGCTGATGTTAGCAGTTCTTTCAGTTTCCTGAATGCTTGGTCCTGTTGTTCTCCCCAATGCCATTCCTTCTGTGGTTGTTTCTTCTTCTTCTGTCCTTTCCTACTTGATGGAATTGGCATCAACTCTGTCAATGGTCTGCTGATCTGACTGAAGTTCTTAATGAAGCGTCTGTAATATCCAGCTAATCCCAAAAAACGTCGAACATCTTCAGGTGATGTTGGTGTAGGCCAAGCCATGACTTTCTCGGTCTTTTCTGGATCCACTTCCACTCCATCCGCTGAAACAATGTGTCCAAGGAACTTTACTTTGCGTTGGAAGAAAGAACACTTCTTGGGTGCCAACTTCAGGTTCGCCTTTCTTATGCGGTCCATTACCAGTTGCAAGTTGTTAAGATGTTCCTCGTATGTCTTCCCAAAGATAATCACATCATCAATGAACACACAGCATATTCTAAGGTGGTAATCAGCTAGACAGTCTTCCATGAGTCTTTGGTAGGTGGCGGGACTGTTGGTAAGTCCAAACGGCATTCTGTTGTACTCATAGAAGCCTAGAGGTCCTACTGTGAATGCAGTCCTTTCCTTGTGTGGTTCGTACAGCTCCACCTGATGATACCCGGACTTCATATCAACAACACTGAAAAAGGTACTCTCGGAGAGACAATCAAGCAGGTCTTCAATCCTCGGCAAGCTATAGCTATCTTTTTTCGTCCTATTGTTGAGCTGACGATAATCAACACACAGGCGTAGGCTGTTATCCTTCTTTCTGGCGAGAACTACATTGGAGGCAAATGGACTCTTAGATGGTCTAATGATCCCTGCATGTGTGAGTTGTCGAAGATGATCTCTAACTTCTTCATATGCTGATGGAGGGATTCTTCTGTATCGTTGTTTAAAAGGTCTATCATCTGTCATATCGATGCGATGTTTCACAATATCTGTACGACCTACGTCCTCATCAGTCTTGGAGAAGATGTCCATGTACGAGCGTAGAAGTTGAACTCCTGCATCTAGTTGTTCATCTGTTAATGTGCTCTGTGTAATCTTTATCTTCTCCATAATGTCAGTAATTTCCTCTTCAGATGGTAAACTTGGTGAAGGTTCTAGTTGGACTGGTTGTAATTCACATACTATTGCCTTCGGTGGTATACTCAGTGTTCTTGTTGTCAAATTCTCTATGGTAACAGTAACTGTCCCGTTCTGTTGGTGTCGATATGTAATCAAAGATGGTTCAACATCAAAGTCTTCCGAATCTTTGGCTAAGTTGCAAGGATGGAGCATAGCTGGTGTAGCATGGTATGGAACTTCCTTGTCAACATATCCAGATAATGTGATGGTAGTGTTCGGTGGTACAATGATCTTATTTACTTCTGCATTCTTTATAAGACCTAAGATGTTGTTGTTTTTCTTTAGTTCCTTTTCTTGAAGTAGTATGCATCTGAATGTGAGATACCAGGATGTAGTCAGCTTACTAGTCTGTAAAAATCTTTCTCCAAAGTCCTTCCTGAGAGATTCCATGAAGTATGACAGCGTGTTAGTTCCTAGTAATAATGGTACTTGCTGATTGTATCGACTGTCTGGTGTAACTAACAGGATAGATGAGTGTATCTGTTTATACCCTGGTATTTGTAGATCTGCTTCTATGTAGCCTAAGTATGGTAGTTTCTGGCCATCAGCACATTCAATATCTAGTAGTGTTGTTATGTTGTTCAATGGTGTTGTTAAATGTTCCCTGTAAAAAGATTCGCTGATAGTTGAGACGGTGGAACCAGTATCAAGAAGTGCAGGTGTTTCTAAGCCTTCGATACAAACTTTAGTTTCTGTTGGTTTACCAAATAATCCTGGTGGTACTTTTACATGGCTGGTTTTGGGAACACTACTTCTACATAAGCCTATGGATGCTCCCCCTTCATAGACTTCTTGTCGTTTAAATTCTTTCTGCTGTGGTCCATTCTTACAGCACAACCTCTTTTATAATGTCCAGTTTGTCCACATCTCCAACATTGAGGTTCATCATGTGTCTGTTGTTGTCCTTGTCCTCTACCAAATCCTCTACCTCTACCTCTCTGTTGTTGCCATCCTGGTTGCCAGTGTTGTTGCCAAGGCTTTGGTTGCCAGGTAGGTTGTTGCCATGTGGATGGTTGTTGTTGCCAAGGATGTTCTTGTTGGTCCAATTTCTTTTCATAACTGTCCATTCTAGTTGTCATCTGCTGGATCATTCCTTTGATATCCTCAACATCAGATTGTTCAATTGCTGCTTTACTGGTTTGTGGCTTGGAAGACTTGCTTAACACTTCTCGGTGCAAGTGATCATTCTCTATCTGGCGAAGTGCAACTCTCAGTGCATCAAATTCCTTGATGGTGTCATACTTGTGTCCTGAGATGTCCTTGAGTGATGTTCTCAGACCAGTCCACAACATGGAGTGAAGCATACCATCTACATCCTGTCTTCCAACAATACCTCTCTCTACTGCCTGTCCCATGAGTGATTCTAACCGGCAACTCCAGCTGGTGACAGTTTCATCTTCTTTTTGGCGTGATCCATAAAACTCTGCCAAAAGTTCTTCCTTCTTGTCGACATTCCCATAAATAGAGTCTAGCTTATGAATGACTTCCTCAACTGATGCATCTAAATCCAGTCGCATGGCTGCATATCCAGCTTCCCCTCTTAGTGACCTTCGAACAGCATTCAAGATGGCTTCCTTCTCATATGACTGTTTCATCAGCAACTTTACTTCCTGCTTCCATAACTCATAGGTGGTGTCCCCTGACTTAGGTTCATTTCCAGAAAAGTTGGAAATCCTTGGTGGGTGTGTCATTACTACTTTGTTGGATTTTTCCCTTGGTGGTGCCTTAGGTGGAGATGGTAATACCAGCTCTGGATTAACCTGTTCTAACTTGATGGCTCCAGTAGATTTTAGGTAGTCTATCATCCATTTAGTTAGGTCCTCAGGTGTATCAGCCTTTGGTTTGACTCCTGTCTTGGCAAATGCTTCCATGATCTCATGTAGTGCAGGTGGTGGATTCTCAACTAATGGAGTAGTAGGTTGTTCAATAGGGACATCCTCGGTTCCTCCCTTCTTGGCCATATCAGTGTGTATGTGTATACCAAATATCAAAAAAAAAATCTATATACCAAATATCAAAAAGATCTAATCTCAATCCCAGTATATCAAAATATACTATATATATATAAACAATTTATCAAATGTACCTACCAAATAATAATATAAATAATCTGCTTCTACCTACAAAAGTGTGTAATAGATATGTGAATCTTTTACGTTCACAATCTAAAACTATGAAACAACAATACTTACTATGTTACTCTGTACAAAATATCAAATCAAATTGTCAATGTAAGTCTAAGTCTCAAATGTCAACTTAAATCAGAATCAAAATCCTAAGAACTATCCTATCCTGAAAAAATACAGTCAAGAGAATCAAGAAAAAAAAAAAATATGAAGTTGAAATGGATGTATGTGTATTACATGCAATAGGTAAGGTTTAGGAGTATGGATAGGTGGTGCAGTTGTTAAAGAACTACCTGTTATAAAGGAACATGCAACTTAACACTCAAACAAGTTTTAACTACTATTCGTACAAATTTTAACTGTAATAGATTAAGTTACTATTTAAATGTTTAACTTGTATGATAAATTTATCTGATGTTTCTAAATTTAAATTGAAAATTAAATTTTAAATTTTAAATCAAATCTGAAATTTTAAATTCACAAACAAATATACACAATCAACACAACACAATGTACAGTATACAACACTAATACATGTAAACAACTATATACTACACAGGACTATGCACAATCAACATAAAACACAAATGACACAATGATAATAAACAAAGTCACACACAAAAAATATCATATACACACAACAACAAAAATTCACAAAATCTGTCTGAATTTATTTTGTTAATATCAATCAATATTAAAGAACCCTATGTATGTATGTATGTGTGTGTGTTAAACAAAGTTGGACTTTATTCACTTATCAAAGTGTATGCGTAAATTAACAAAGTCTGGTTTTGCTTTAATGTGACATAAATATTTCAAACACAATCAATGTGTATAATATTCAATGCAAAACACCAATTCTAAATGTATGTCACTCTCTGTGTGTAAATAAATATTGTTTACATGTGGTGTATGTCTAGACAGCTTTATTAAGTGTACTTCCGGTTGACCTTGACCTTATATCTATGGGTGTGGTCTTTTTTATGGGTTTGGGGGGGGGGGGGGGGGGGTCAAGTATCAACAAACAAATAAACAAAGTACAAATGTCAAAATATGAATTAAATCTCAATAAAGGACACTTGTATGCTTGTATTCAATTGAGTTTTATGTTTACAAAATAAAAATTGGACAAATTTTTCAAACACCAATTTCAATTATTTTGAAGTCTCTACATACGATAAATGCTACACAACTAGATTTATACAATGTATATTATCAGGCAATTAATTATAAGTATATATGAACTTACTATAATACTAATATGTTCAATAAATTCAGCAATAATGTTTGTTGATCAAGATGAATCCAACGAAAAATGTGTTCTCTGTCGTCCTAGTTCATGAACCGGTTATGTTGATATACGTCACTGATCAGTTTCCGGTATTGCGTATGTAATTTTTTCGTACGGATTCACTGTCGTTGTCAAAGTTCAGAATATATTCTTGGTTTCTACTTCGTCGCTGAGTAAAGCTTCCTAAGTACGTTGGGCGCCAATGTAAAAGCCGGTTTTTCTCGGGCTTTTAGTAATAAAAGAAATAACTGCAATCTAGGGTTCTGTAACTTTTATTCAGACGAAACGAAGTATAACTATATGAATATGTAAATACTGCCCTCACATATCGTGCAAGTGGCACATTTCCATATAAACCATTAAATATCGAATACTACATCTTTGGCAAGGTTTAAATATACCTTATATAAGAAACTTTCCAATCACAGAATTGTTATTTTAGATATTAATTTCTTTAAGTTGTTAAATTGCAGACAGGTAAATATATAGGTGTTGACCACAAGATGTCTTCCCATAAGATCTAGAACAAAGGAATTAAACCGCCAAAAGTACTGACCAATAGAAGAAATGTACGATAGCGCTCAAATCAACCGTGAAAATAAAGTACTAACTACAGTGAAATCAGACTTAACCAAAACATGAGATGAGAATTCGTCCGTCAATAGTCCATGTCAATAAGTTAAAATAGAATAATACACAATGCTAATCCTTAATTACAAAATGTAATTATTAAGCTAACAATATAACTTTATTCAAGTATATACTAATATCAAGTACTAAGAATATAAAAATATACAAAATACATAAAATAACAGGCTATCACATAATGACATTTCTCATTATATGATGTGTATTTGCCATTATATGATGTCATTTTACCCTTATATGATGTGCAAATGACATTATATGATGTGCACTTGTCCTTATATGATGTACACTTGTCATTATGTGATGTGAACTTGTCCTTATATGATGTACACTTGTCATTTTATGATGTGAAGTTGTCCTTATATGCTGTCCAAACACATTTATATGAGGTGCAAACATCTTTATATCATGTCCACAATTCATTATATGATGTGCTTTCTCCATTATATTATGTGATTGAGTCCTTATATTATGTGATGCTTTCCTTATACGATGTAGAAACGGCATTATGTGATGTACAATCACCTTTATACGATATGCAATCACCTCTATATGATGACAATTTGACATTATCTGATGTGCAAATTATATTATATGATGTGCAAATTATCTTATATGATGTGCAAATGGTCTTACATGATGTGCAAATTATCTTATATCATGTACAGATGTCTTTATATTATGTGCAAACTTCTTTATATGATGTGAACTTATTCTTATGTTATGTGCTAACATCGTTATGTGATGTGGTAAGGTCATTATATTATGATAATGTAACATCATATGGTGTGGTTCGGTTTACATCTTTATATGATGTCACAACATCATTATGATGATGTCGAAACATCATTATGATGATGTGCATTCATCGTCCTGATGGTCAATGAACATGATTACGATTAAAGCGATTACTCACTACGTCAGAACTGATTCCGATCTGCTGCTACGAAAAAAGCAGTTATTGCCGCCAAGATCTGTATTCGTATGAAAAATGGACGAGATTTTGAAAGAGTTAAACCTAGGCACGTTGGTATCGCGTTTTAAAGATGAAAAAATAACACCAGATATTGTCGGAAAATTGTCCAAATTTGAATTGCAGAGTTTAGGCTTAATCGATAGCTCTAAAATAATGAATTTACGGTTAAAGTGTTTAAATTATGGATCTTCTACTTTGTGCCGAGCACCTGGAAGTCGAATATTTCAGATACCAGAGGATATTCTACACTTTTTTCTGGAATGCCAATTTACTGTTACTGATATAGCAAAGCTCCTATCAGCTTCTGAAAGTACTATTTATAGGAGAATGCGGCAATGCAATTTAACTAAAAAGAATGTCTCAAACATTTCGGATGAAGATTTGGATTCCTTAATACAGGAGATAGTTCAGGAATTTCCCCGCTGCGGCGAAAATATGATGAAAGAATTGTTAATGCAAAAAACAGCTATACAGGTATGTTGAATACTGTCTTTTTAATTTATATATTTGATTTCCTTTCTAATACCAAATAAATCACACAGTCATATGTTTCATAAAATTAATTGTTACCAGGTAGTGAACATGGGATTTAGTCGTTGTAAAAAAGGGGATGGGTTGGGTGGTATTGCGGTTGGAATTTTCGATTTGAATCTTTTTGCTAAAACTGTTAATTTTTGTAGCATGAACATTAAAGTTCTTTCTTGTACACAACTACTTTTGGAAATGTTTTGCATTTTGAAAAGCAGAAGAATTTTTATTTTCAATTTGTCTTTTGCAAATCAACTTAATTTTTTTTCTCCCGAAATCCTTTAGCCACTAGCCCGCCTCCATACCGAATGGTCATGCCATACATTTACAAGAATTATCTATTAAATATGAGTGAAAATGTAGCGGGACAGTAAACTCAACATAAAATTGTCACCAAACGAGCATCCACAGTTTTCGGGAATGGATAAAAGTGTAATTTCCCATGAATATTGTTTCACTTATAGAGCAAAGATGATAGCAAAAAGAATAAAAAGTGGAAAAGATGAAATCGTCAAAAAGATTACAACCCGACAAAAATTTACAAAACAACCCAAGGCCACCAGTGGGTCTTCAATAAAGCGAGAAATCCCGCACCCAGATGCTGGCTTGAGAAGGTCCTGAAACACTAATATAAAAAAGAGATGTGGTGTGATTGGTAAGACACAACTCTTCACAAGAGACCAAATGACACAAAAATTAACATCTATAGGTCACCGTACGGCCTTCAACAATGAGCAAAGCCCATACCGCATAGTCAGCTAAAAAAGGCCCCGAAATGACAATTGTAAAACAATTCAAACGAGAAAACTAACGGCCTAATTAATGTACCAAAAAATGAACAAAAAACAAATATGTAACACAGCAACAAACGACAACCACTGAATTACAGGCTCCTGACTTGGGACAGACACATACTACATAATGTGGTGGGGTTAAACATGTTAGCGAGATCAGGAAAATAGACGCCACTCTACACTTCGAAACACAGAGATGAACCAAAAGTATAAAACATACAAGAATAACAAATGCGTAAGGTTCTTGACTTAGGACGGTCGCAAAATAAGGCGAAGTTAAACATGTTTAGTGAGCGCTCAATCTACCCGCTCACCTTGAGCCAATGTACACATATTTAACTTCAACGTCTTCAATTTTGAGTGTCAATGCCAAAGAATAAATTTTGGGATCCCTAAAAAAATTAGCATTTTCACAATTTTATATTTTCCATTAATTCGAAAAGTCCGTCACAGCTGTTTAAGTCATACTTTAGATATTGAACGTAATTAAACTTTTCAGTCGAAGGTTTTATTTTGTTAAAACATGAATCTATAGTGGCATATATCTGCCCCTACTTGACACTTAGTTAAGTCGTCATAATTAGCTAAATAAGTCTACTTGTCACTTACAGGGGCGGATCCAGGATTTTGGAAAGGGGGGCGTAGTATTAAAGTTTGCCGTTTGGAGCGAGGCGAAAAATTTTTTGGACCTTTTGTTGGCTAAAAAACATAAAATAAGTGTAAAATGCATTTTATAGTTAAAGTGTAGGGGTTGGACATTTTTGGTGCCGTATTCTCTCCATTAATTGTCTATTATAAAATGATTGGATGGATCCAAAGCTATGTACTAATTAATATATTTGATGTGGGATTTGTCGGTAAAAAATGGAGATGGAAAATTCTCGTTTGTTGTATGGTTAGTTAGCATAACCTCACAGATTTCTTGTTGTAAACAAGATATACGGCTATTCAATTAAATTTACAATACGACCGACTCGAAGAAAGACAAACAAGCAATTTTTATCCCAATGTTTGGTTGAAATGTTTCAACCAACAAGGGAAGTGAGGGGTTCCAAATCAACCAAAGGCTTCGAATGAGTCGGAAATGACAATGAAGTTGTGAATGACGGTAGACACATTGAGACATATAGGCCACACCCAGCAGGCAGGTTGCAGTCGGGCCTTGAAAAAAGTATTCAGTATATCAGTTCGGCGAAACAGACATTCCGGTCAGATATGGGATTCATATGCAACACCCCCCCCCCCCCCCAAAAAAAAAAAAAAAGTTACGCCCGTTTTTTATTCATCATGTTCATTTAATGCTAAATAATTTTGTTGAAAATATTTTTTTCTAATAGCAAAAAAGTGGACAAGATTATTGTTTTCAATCCAGATACGGCCAGAATTTTTTTTTAAGGCAAAAATTAGGGTCAGAATTTTTCTCTTAAATATCTCAGACTGCCCCCTCAAATCAAATGGTCCGTACCTTAGACTTTAAATCTATATCAAAAGCTTACTGACTGGGGATCACTATTCAGCAATGTTATTAATGGGCTGGGGCGTGTGGGGTTAAACATGTTTTCGTAGGTAAATAATATTGCTGTGGAACTTTTTTTTTCATGAGAGTGTAATAGAGTATTACTTTCTGTTGGGTAGAATTATGAAATAGAAGTCAATACGTTCTTGATCAATACTTTGTCGCTTTGAAGGCGTCATGCTTGTCATCCTCAGCCTAAGCAATGTGTTACTGTAATTTGAATTTCAAAATGACTGAGTGACGTTTTTTTCGACGTACTGGTCAACTCCACCGTAGCGAATCACATGACTTTGACATAATCAATAATATATTACAGTAAATACGAGCGAAAAATATCTTTATAAGTAAAGAATTGTCGCATAAAAATTAAATACACGGGAAAAATAATCGGAAATGGCAAAGTTCGCGAAGTCTAGTCTGATTAATCATTTTACAAAAAAAAAAAAAAAAAAAAGTGCAAGCAAAAGGGGGGGGAGGGGGAGGGCGTACGCCCTCTACGCCCCCCTCTGGATCCGCCACTGACTATTGTCTTAATTAGATCTACTTGTCACTTAGTTCAGTTCACTTTTCAGATATATAAGTCTGTTTTTACATGTCATGAAATGGGCAAAATCGTCGGAAAATGTTTTTTTATTTTCTATACAAAATAGTGTCATTTTATTATCTGACAAGTAGACTTAATAAACTTTCTCAAAATGTGTTGCGGAACAGTTTCTTAATGTATATTGAACTATTTTTTGTCATGCGCACTATTTCCCAAACTGGTTTACGCTCCCCTTACTCCCGAATGTGACCTACCGAATTAGACTTATTACAGGGTTTGTACTATTATTAAACACGAGCTACACTACGGCTGCCACATGTGGAGCAGGATCTACTACCCTTCCGGAGCACCTGAGATCACCCCCAGTTTTTGGTGGGGTTCGTGTTTCTCGATCC